CATCTAGCCTATCTCCCACTCACCACCTTCTGTCAACCCAGTTTGTTATCTATCAAGAGTCTTTTGTGGTTTGTTTCCATCTCTTCTCTCCCCCACCCCTTCCAATATGTTCATCTGTTTTGTTTCTCAAATTCCACACCTAAGTGAAATCATATGGTATTTGTCTTTCCCTGGGTGACTTATTTCACTGAGCATAATATATTCTAGCTTCATGTCATTGCAAATGGCAAGATTTCATTCTTTTTGATGGCTAATATTTCATTGTATATATATGTGTGTGTGTGTGTGTGTGTATACACACATATATAATATTTCCTTATATGTGTATGTATTCCATATATGTTTGTGTGTATACACACATACCACATCTTTATCCATTCATCAATTGATAGATATTTGGGCTCTCTGCATAGTTTGGCAATTGTTGATAAATGCTGCTATAAACATTCAGGTGCATGTACCCCTTCGAATCTGTATTTTTGTATCCCACACTGGTGGCTGCACCAGTTTGTATTCCCGCCAGCAGTGCAAGAGGGTTCCCCTTTCTCTGCATCCTCACCACCACCTGTTGTTTATTGTGTTGTTAATTTTAGCCATTCTTACAGGTGTAAGGTGATATCACACTGTGGTTTTGATTTGTATTTCCCTGATGATGAGTGATGTTGAGCATCTTTTCAAGTGTCTGTTAGCCATCTGGATGTCTTCTTTGGAAAAATGACTATGCATGTCTTCTGTCCATTTCTTCACTGGATTATTTGTTTTTTGGGTGTTGAGTTTGATCAGTTATTTACAGATTTTGGATCCTAACCCTTTACCTGATATGACATTTGCAAGTATCTTCTCCCATTCCATCAGTTGCCTTTTAGTTTTGCTGATTGATTCCTTCACTGTGCAGAAGCTCTTTATCTTGATAAGGTCCCAAAAGTTCATTTTTGCTTATGTTTCGCTTGCCTTTGGTGACATGTCTAGTAAGAAGTTGCTACAGCTGAGGCTGAAGAGGTTTCTGCTGGTGTTCTTCTCTAGGATTTTGGTGGTTTCCTATCTCACATTAGGTCTTTCATGCAGTTTGAATTTATTTTTGTGTATGGTTTAAGAAAATGGTCCAGTTTTCCCAACACCATTTGTTGTAGAGACTGTCTCTTTTTCCATTGCATATTCTTTCCTGCTTTGTCAAAGATTAGTTGACCATGTAGTTGTGGGTCCATTTCTGGGTTTTCTGTTCTGTTCCATTGATCTGTGTCTGTTTTTGTGCTAGTACTATACTGTCTTTGCAATAGCTTTTTAATACAGCTTGAAATCTGGATTCGTGATGCCTCCAGTTTTAATTTTCTTTTTCAGGATTGCTTTGACTCTTTAGGGTCTTTTTTGGTTTCATACAGATTTTAAGATTGTTTGCTCTAGCTCTGTGAAAAATGCTGGTGGTAGTTTGATAGGAATTGCATTAAATGTGTAGATTACTTTGGGTAGTGTAGACATTTTAACAATGCTTTTTCTTCTAGTTCATGAACATGGAATGCTTTTCCATTTCTTTGTGTCCTCTTCAATTTATTTTAAAATTGTTCTATAATTTTCAGAGTATAGATCTTTTACCTCGTTAATTTATTCCTAGGTATCTTTTTGTGTCTGATGCAATTGCAAATGGGATCGATTCCTTGATTTTTTTTTTTTTCTGCTGCATCATTATTGGCATACAGAAATGCAACAGATATCTGCACATTGATTTTATATCCTGAGATGTTGCTGAATTCATGTGTTGGTTATAGCAATGTTTTGGTAGAATCTTTTGGGTTTTCTCCATCGAGTGTCATGTTGTCTGTGAAGAGTGAAGTTTGACTTCTTTCTTGCTGATTTGGATACATTTTCTTTTTGTTGTCTGATTGCTGAGGCTAAGACTTCCAATACTATGTTAAATAGTAATGGTGAGAGTGGACATCTATGTCTTATTTCTGACTGTAGGAGAAAGGTTCTCAGTTTTTCCCCATTGAGGATGATATTAGCTATGGGTCTTTCGTATATGGCTTTTATTGTGTTGAGGTATGTTCCATTTATCCAAACTTTATGGACGTTTTTATTAAGAATGGATGCTTTATTTTGTCAGATGCTTTTTCTGCATCTATTGACGGGATCTTATAGTTTTCATCCTTCCTTTTATTAATGTGGTGTATCACAGTGATTAATTTGTGGATATTGAACCACCCCAGCAACCCAGGAATAAATCCCACTTGATCATGGTGAATAATTCTTTTCATGTACTGTTGATTTTGATTTGCTAATACATTCATGTTCATCAGGGATATTGGCCTGTAATTCTTTTTAGCAGGGTCTTTGTCCAGTTTGGGAATCAAAGTAATGCTGGCTTCATAGAATGAGTTTGGAAGTTACCCTTCTATTTCTATTTTTTAGAACAGTTTGAGACGAATAGTTATTAACCATGCTTTAAATGTTTGGTAGAGGGGCGCCTGGGTGGCTCAGTTGGTTGAGCATCCGACTTCGGCTCAGATCATGATCTCACGGTCTGTGAGTTTGAGCCCCGCATCGGGCTCTGTGCTGACAGCTCAGAGCCTGGAACCTGCTTCAGATTCTGTGTGTCTGTCTCTCTCTGCCCCTCCCCTGCTCATGCTCTGTCTCTCTCTGTGTCAAAAATAAATAAACAATAAAAAAAAAATATTTGGTAGAATTTCTCTGGGAAGCCATCTGGCCCAGGACTCTTGTTTGTTGGGAGATTTTTGATTACTGATTGAATTTCTTTGCTGGTTATGGGCCTATTCAAATTTCTTTCTGCTTTAGTTTTGGTAGTTTGTGAATTTCTAGGAATTTTTCCATTTCTTCCAGATTGCCTATTTTGTTAAAATGTAATTTTTCATGGTATTCTCTTATGATCATTTGTATTTCTTTGGTGTTGGTTGTGATCTCTCCTCTTTCATTTGTGATTTTATCTATTTGAGTCCTTTCTCTTTTTGATAAGTCTGGGTAGGGGTTTATCAATTTTGTTAACTCTTTCAGAGAACCAGCTTTTGGTTTTGTTGATCTTTTCTACTGTTTTGTTTGTTTGTTTTTATATATTTTATTTCTGCTCTAATCTTTATTATCTCCCTTCTGCTGACTTTAGGCTTTATTTGCTGTTTTCTAGCTCCTTTAGGTGTGAGGATAGGTTGTGTAGTTGGAAATCTGCTTTTTTTTTTTTTTTTTAAGTAAAGTTTATTTATTTCGAGAGAGAGAATATGTAAACAGGGGAGGGGCAGAGAGACAGGGAGAGAGAATCCCAAGCAGGCTCTGTGCTGTCCATAAGGAGCCCAATGCAGGTCTCATTCTCACGACCTGAGCTGGAATCAAAAGTCAGACTCTTAACTATCTGTGCCATCTGTGTGCCCCTGGAAATCTACCCTTGTAATCCTTTTAGTAAATTTTCCATTTCAGTTATTATACTTTTCATTTACAGAATTTCTTTTTCACTTATTTTTAGGCTTTCTGTCTCTTTATTGATATTTCCATTTGGTTCATAAATTGTTTCTTGTCTTTTCCCACAATCTCTATTAGTTCATTGAACATTTAAAGAATAATTCTTTGTCTTGTAGATCTGCCATCAGGTTTTCTGGGACAGTTTCTGTTAAATTTTTTTTCTCTTTTAATGGACCATACTTTCCTTTTCCTATTTCTTGTGGGGTTTTTGTCAAAAACTGGACATTTGAGTTTAATAATGTAATAACTTCAGAAATGAGATTTTCTCCATTCCCAGCATTTGCTGTTTTATTACTGTTTTTGTTTGTTTGTTGTTTTTTATTATAGTGTGCTATCTCTCTGCTAAGGATCAGACTGAGGTATAAACTTGCAGTGTTCTCATATGTTTTCTAAGCCTTTCCCTGGGCAAGGGTGGCCACTTTCTAATTTTTCTTGTATAAGCACTTATGTTTTGAATGTCTATATCTTTAATGTCTGGCTCCCAAAAGAGGACAAAGAGAAAAATGAAGGTGGAAATAAATGACAATGGTCTTTTAAGTACTGGAAGTCATTTCAGGCCAAGTGGGGGGGTCACATATAGCAGGGTTCTTACACAGAGAAATGGAACTCTGAGGTTCCTCTTTCTAGGAAGCAGCTTTATTTGTGCCACCTGGGCTCAGCGGGTTAAGATCCCAAAAAGGCTGAGTCCCAAGTGCAGCAGGGTATAGCCTTTTATGCAACTTCTACTTCTTTGTCTCCCATATGTGGTGACACAAATAGTCTGATTGGACACATTTCAAGTTACAGAGTCATGTCAGAACTATACATACCTGTATAGGAATTGATTGGGTCACATTGCCTTCCTTTGTTCTGAGAAGCCTCCACTAAATTCTTTAGGGAGGGTCCTTACCACACACCTACCTCTTTGTACTTCTGTGATCAGAAGCAGTAATTCCCAATCAGAGTATGGATTCCCAATATTTGGAGGACATGGTTTGTTTTGGCTATCCTGGTTCTTACTGACTACGTAAGCCACTGCAGGAATATGTGCACAACTGCCTGCCATGTGGCTTGGTTGGAGGTTGGGTAGTTTTGACTGCTGAGAAATGAAATTAACAGAAATTGATGGTGATTTACCTGTGCTAGCCTTTCCCTGGAATTTACAAGCCTTTAGTAGAATCCATAGTTCTAAAATAATTGTATTAAACAAAATCTGCCAGTGCAGTTTTTTTCTAGGTGGAGAGACACATTTCTGTTGCTTTGGACTGTGCCACCAGTGCTGAAATCTCTTACATGGGTTTACTTAAACATGTAGCATTATTGCATGTGTTCTTATGATACTTACAGAGTACATGGAATTGCTTTATACATTTACTATTGACATTCTTATAGGAGTGTGTGTACGTCTCTGTATGTAGTCTTTGTATACCCTGTGGTCATACAAACTTGTATATAGTTTCATATATTCTTCACATCTACCTGAATTTTGTATTAATAGAAACCATAGCTAACACTAGAAGATAAAAATAAACATACGAACTTACATTTTTTTCTTTATATAGGCAGTGTTCAGAATGTGACCAGGCAGGGAGCAGTGACATGGAAGCAGACATGGCCATGGAAACCTTACCAGATGGTACCAAACGATCAAGGAGGCAGATTAAGGAACCAGTGAAATTTGTTCCACAGGACATGCCCCCAGAACCCAAGAAGATTCCAATAAGAAATACGGTAATTTTTTCCCTGTTTATCATAATCATCACAAACTTCTGAGGGCAAAATTCTGAGGCCAGTTTGTTGTTTTACATTATGAAATATACCATACATAACTGAGAATTTATGCTTTATATATTCAACTTAAAGCATAATAATAATGAATACCCACTGTATCCACTGACCTGCTTCAAAAATAAACAGTAACAAAGCCTGATGTCCCCTGTGAATCCCTTGGTAATTTCATTCTTACCTGGCTAGTACAGAGATCACCTCCTTCCTCAACTTTGTATTTCTCATTCTTTTCTTTTTTTTTTAGTAATGACTTTCCAAATGTGTGTATTTGTAAATAATACATAGTTTTGCAGTTTTTAAATTTTGTATGAATGGAATCAGGCTTTTCCTTTTGGTATTTGTTAATTTGGCCAGTTTTTTTTTTTTGTTTTTTTTTTTTAAGTTTATTATTTTGAGAGAGAGAGCTTGAGCAGGGGAGAGGCAGAGAGAGAGGGGGAGAAACAATCTGAAGCAGGCTCTGTGCTGTCAGCACAGAGCCCAATGAGGGGCTTGAACTAACGAACCATGAGCTCATGACCCGAGCAGAAATCAAGAGTCAGATGTGCAACCAACTGAGCCTCCCAGGTGCCCCTAACCAAATTTTGTTGATGAGATTCATAAATACTGATCTGTGTAGTTACAGTTCATTTATTTTTACTAATGTGTAGTATTTTTTATTAAAACAATAGATCATATGTTTTGTTCTTTAGATTGGCAATTTTGTTTCTATCTTTTTTCTTTTGTAAACAACTCTGTTTTGAATATTTTTGTAAATGTCTCTTGCAGCATGGTAACAAGGAGTTAGGATATATACCAAGGTGTTCATTTGCTTAGTTATCGGATATGTGCGTCTTCAGTTTTGCTAGTTAATTCCACTGTGTTTTAAACCAGTTTATATTCATAGCAATGAATAATCTTACTATTGTTCCCTAAACTTATTTTGTGTAATATTTTAATGCTTTCCAATGCAATACATGTAAAATAGTATATCATTTTATTTTGTATTTGTCTCAATACTAATGACTTTGAGTATCTATGTATTTTATCTATTAGGAAATGTAAATGCAAGTCTTCTCCGATTTTTCTATGAGGTTGTTAGTCTATTTCTCATCACAAAATTTTTGAGGTTAGAGTTCAAAGAATTTCTTCCAGAAAGTATTTATGTTTGTTATTACCAGGTGCCGGTGAGGTGTACTAACCTAAGATCATTTTATTATTTTATTTATTTTTAAATGTTTGTTTATTATGTATTTTAAGAGAGAGAAAGAGAGTTAGTGGGGAGAGGGGCAGAGAGATAGGAGAGAGAAAATCCCAAGTATTATGCTCCATGCTGTCAGTGCAGAGCCCATCATGGGGCTCAATCTCATGAATTCTGAGATCATGACCTAAGCCAAAATCAAGAGTCAGCTGCTTAACCGACTGAGCCACCCATGCACCCCTAACCTAAGACCATTTTAAATAAGTTTGGTGTGTGTGTCTTTTTCCATTATATAAATAGTGTCAATTTCTGCCCCAATCCAGTGAAGGCTGGCTTGCAGTTATGAATTCCTGGGGAGACATTTTTTACTTTCTGACTGTGAACCAAGGCAGACACTTTTGAAAAATCTGCCTCCTCCTGAAGGAGATGTAGATTTTTTTTTTTTTTTTTTTAAGTAGGCTTTATGCCCAGCACAGAGTCCAGTGGCTGGGCTTGAGCTCACGACCCTGAGATCAAGACTTGAGCTGAGGTGAAGAGTCGGATGCTTAACAGACTGAGCCACCCAGGCATCCCAAGATGTAGCTGTTTTTAGGGTTAGTTGTCATCCTTTGTTTTGTTACCTGTTTAGTTGTAGAGAGTTTTTTCTTTTTTCCTTAAAGTAACAGCTTTCTCAAAAATTTTCTTTAATCTGTAATAACACATTTAATCTAATCATAAGAGAAGTTACTTCGAGTATTTCATTCAGTTTGTGTTATGAGCTTATTTGATATTGAGGAAACAGATGTGGAAATTGTCTCCCAGATAATTTAAATAGTTGTGTTTCAATGCTGTTAATCAACTTGAAATTGTTTTATTTATAATTCCCATTAATTTAAAACAATTTTTTTTGGCCTCACAAATACATTTTGTTTACAAATGAACTAGAGAGAATTTTCCTTCAAGCCTGCTCACTTCTTCCTTCCTTCCTTCTTCCTTTCTTTCTCTTTCTTTCTTTCTTTCTTAAAATTTTTTTAATGTTTATTTTTTGTAAAGAGAGAGAGCACGAGTGGGGCAGAGGTAGAGAGAGAGGGAGACACAGAATCTGAAGCAGGATCCAGCACAGAGCCCGACACAGGGCCCAAACCCACAAACTGTGAGATCATGACCTGAGCCGAAGTCAGATACTTAACCGACAGAGCCACCCAGGCGCCCTAAGCCTGCTCATTTCTAACATTTTCTGTAACTTCAATGCCAATAACTTCAATGTGGCTATTAAGATATTCGAGTAAAGCATGTGTCTGTGTTTGCAAAGATTATCCTTTTATGAAACATCGTTTTCTTTACTGTTTAAAGAAATCTTTAGGACCAGTGTTATCATCTTTAACCAGAGACGGAAATTTTGTACATATTATAGTGATATTTATGTGTCCATAGTTTAGTATTATTTCAGATAAAAGAGGATCATATTTTCTTTTAGTTTACTTGTTTGTTCTTACAGCCTGGAATTATAAGGAAGCTTTTGAATTTTCTAATTTATTCCAATTCCTTTTACTGTATTATTTGTCTCTTGTTTTCTTGTGTAAAAGTCTTAGTCTTCTTGTAGATATGTGTGGGTAAAACACAAGAAAGGATTCTATGGCCAGTAATTTTAGGAAATACAGTATGATTACTTTCTTTCTTGGGGGAATTCAGATGTATACTCAAGGTCTGAGAAACACTACTGTTTAGAATAATGATTACTTTAACTTTTTCCTAACCTATTTTATCAAAGAGCACTTTTTTCAAGACCATTTTTTATTGTATCATATAGTGCTGAGTGGTACCAGCTTTGGAAATGATGTTCTAGAGGCCACGAATTACTTGCATAAAGGTCATCTGTGGGGTGTTTGTTGGAATGTAGGTTTTGGACTTATCCAAGAACTAATAACTTAGAATTAGGGTTGGTTTAAGCAGACTTTTTAGGTTTTATTCTTATGCAGACTGAAGTTAGAAAATAACTATCTGGATAATGTTTATCATTATTACTCTTACTTTTTTCTTCCCTTCCTTCACCCCTGATTAATCCATACAGCAATTCAGAAAATCTTTGATGAGGCTATTCTATTGGTCAAGTACCTGATCGAGGAATGTAAGAATGAGAGATGCAGAGGAGAGTGATTCAGTCATCTTGATTTTGATCTTACCATTTAGGCTGAGTTCCTATTGTTACTTTAACTTTTTATCTTATCAGTTCTGTTTCAGAGATATATTAACATTTTAATTAGATGGTATGGTTAAAAATGAGGCAGCTTACTTTCTTTTCTTAGCACACTGTTAATTGTGGGAATCTAGGTATCTAACTGCCACCTCATTTGTATGTATAACCAAGTATCTTTCACAGTAAATAACTGATTTATCTCTCCTTTTAATTTTCAATTCTTGTTCCTAGTATTTTTCTACTTATACTTTTTATTTTGGTACATGTATTACTACACTTATTAGCCACCCAGGTGCCCCACATTGAACTTCCTATTACAGAGGTATTGTGATATTGAACAAATTACCTAACCCTAACCCGAGTTCCCCAGCTGAGCTGCTGTATGAATTTCCTATAGGTGCTATAACAATTACCATGATTTTGGTGGCTTAAAATAACACAGATTTATTATCTTAACAGTTCTAGAGGCCAGAAGTCTCCAGTCAGTTTTATTAGGCTAAAGTCAAGGTGTTGACAGGACTGGTCTTTTAGAGGTTGTTAGGGATTATCCATTTCCTTGTCTTTTCTAGCTTCTAGAGGCCACCTATATTCCTTGGCTCAAGCCTCTTCTCCACTTTTACCTCATTTCCAAACTCACATATGCTTCCTCTCTGATCTTCCATTTCCCTCTTATAAGAACCTCTGTGATTCAGGCCCACCTGAATTCATCTCAAAATCCTTGGCTAAATTACATATACAAAGTCTCTTTTTGTTATCAAGTATCATTTACAAGTTCCGAGGATTAGGATATGGATATTGTGGAGACCAGTATTCAGCCTATTACAGTTGGTTTGAAAATTAAATTAGATAATTTACATAAAGTACCGATCATGATGTCTGGGACATAGTAACATCAATTTATGTTCATTTTCTTCTCCCTCCTTCCTCATCCTATTAACTAGATATTGTGTGATTTTGATTAAAATACCTGGGCCTTTGCTGCCCCATCTGTAAAAGTAGATATAATACGCATAAGATTCTCAGTAACAAAGTCTATTGAGGGGATGCCTGAGTGGTTCAGTCAGTTAAGTGTCTGACTTCTGCTCAGGTTGTGATTAGTGATTCATGAATTGGAGACCCGCATCAGGCTCTTTGCTGACAGCTCGGAGCCTGGAGCCTGCTTTGGATTCTGTCTCTCCCTTTCTCTCTGACCCTCCCCTGCTTGTGCTTTTCTCTGTCTCTCTCTCTCTCTCTCAAAAATAAATAAATATTAAAAAAATTAAAAAAAATTTTCTTTTGTTAGTTTTAATTTTTCCTGCCATTATTGATCAAAGTGTACTTCATTTCACAGTAGTCATATTACTCTATCAAAATTTTGAGGAAGATTTACCTTTGTGACATAGGGAATTCATGACATATATCCTAGGCCTTAATTTCTCATTTCAAAATAATGTATCACTTAATAAAACTATTAAAATGATCATTTGTTTTACAACTTTGATTTGTTCTACAACTTTCTACCATTTCTGTTAAGCATATGTTCCCTTGGGTTATAGTGCTAGCATAATTTTTAGAAAAATAGTTTGGATTATTTCATGCTAGTAAAAGTGT